GGAGGCCGAATAGGCCGAGGGGGAGAGGTGGTTGTCCAGCGCGCCGTTGTGCATGCTGCCGTTCCACGAAGCGCAGCGGTCCACTCCCGCGCTGCCCGGGAAGTCAAAGCGCGGCCTCTGGGCACGTTCATGTAGGGGGTGCGCGTCGAAATGCTGCAGCCGCTGGTTGGGCGCCTGCTGGGGAGGAGGATGCTGCATGTTGAACACGGGCTCCGAATAAGGGTGCATGGTCCGGTTCTCCAGCCTGTGGATGGGGTACTCGAACTGCGCGTGTTGGCTGGGCAGCATGGGCCCCCCGTCCTGCAGGCTGCCGCTGGGTGTGCCCGCCTCGCCCTGCTGGGGCCGCGGGAGCGCGGGCGGGCACGAATTTTGTCGGACCAGCAGCCCGGGCGGCGGAGGCTGCTGCTGCTGCGGCGGCGGCGGCGGCGGCGGCTGAGTCTGTTGTGGGGGCTGCTGCTGCGGGGGCGGCGGGGCCTGATGGGGAGGCTGCATTAAGGGGTGCCTGGAGCCTACTCCCGGCTCCAAGCCCACCGGCATCTTGCGGGCCCCGCCGAACCTCTCGAAGAAAACGCCGTGCTGCTGCTGCTGTTGTTGCTGCTGCTGCTGCTGCTGCTGCTGTTGCTGCTGCTGCTGCTGGGCGTGCATTTTGGACAAGCCCACCATGCCTGCAGCTCTGGGCATAGCCGAGGCACCCGGGAAAGAGCCCCCGGGAACCTGGCGACCCGCCGCATAATGAGGCAACTGCCCCTCGGAATCGGAGGGCGAAAACATGTCGAAATGTCCCGAGGGCGCCTCGCCCGGGTAATTGTATTCCAGCGAGTCGACGGCTCCTTGGTTCGCCACCCTCCGGTTCTCCAGACTGTGGGAATCAGAGCCGCTGGAGGCGGGGAGGCCGTGGAAGGAGGCGGCTCGGTTAGGGCTCTGGTCCAGCGGCAAGCACGGGGCCGGCACGGCGTGGCCCGAGGCGCCCGAACTGTGAAAGTCCGGGAGGTTCCCGGGTCGCTGCGGGCCGAAGCTCTCAGGCCCCTGGCTCTCCGCCATATGATCATAACCCTCGGCGAAGGGCGGCTGGCTGCCCAGGCCAGCGCCGGCGCCGCCGTAGCCGAGCAGGCGACCCCCGTGCAGGCATGAGGCTCCTGGGTCCGGGCCACCAAAGTTGCCCCCGAAGTGAGGGTGATGTTGGTGGGGGTGGTGGCCTCCCGGGTGGCCGTGGTGCGGCTGCTGGCCTCCAAAGAATCCGTGCACCGGCTGCGCCTGCAGCCCCCCCGCGTGCAACTCCGAGTGGCCGCGCGCGTGGAAGCCGTACGGCTCCATGTTCATGCCCAGGATCGGGGGCTCGCCCAGCGCGCTCATGGCAGGGTCCACGGGGCCAGGAGGTCCCCCCGCGTGGAAAGCCGGAGCCTTAAAGTGGGTGTTCATGCTTAGTCCGGCCTCGTTAAAGTTCCTCTCGCCCTGGCCAGCGTTCCTGCTGTTGATCTGGGGCTCGAATTGGTCCAGCCCAAACATACTTGGCGGGGGGGTGGGGAAATCAATAGGGCATGACAGCCTGCTCTCCGCGGCGCGCCTCCGGCCAGCTACTCGGTCCGGCCCTGGGCTGGGACGCTCGCTCGGCACCGCGGGGACGCAGTGCGCACCGCCACCGCTCCTGGCCTGTGGAGGCTGGGGCTTCTCCGCTCCTTTCCCGAAGCTCTGGCTCTGCCCCACACGGGTCTCTCACATCTTGCGGCGCCGCAGGGCCTCCAGGAGCCGTGTCGGAGGGCCCATGCCCCAGGCGGTTGGCACAGCCGCGGGTGGGTTTGCGGGGAGGGAACAGAGCTGCAGGCGAGTGGAGACAAAAAGTTAAGTGGGGGGAAGGAGGCGGGAAGGAGGCAGGGAAAGCGAGCGATCACCTTCTTAAGTCCGAACGGGTCGGGTGGGGAGCCCCAGGAAGCCGCCCGAAGCCTCTCCGAGTGAGTCCGAAGCGGAGCTGCTCAGGGGCCGGGCAGGGAGACCCTTTAAAGCCGTGGCTGGCGCCCGGGCACGGACAGAGCGGTCCCTCCCCCTCCCCCGGAGTCCTCGCGCGCGGTAGCTCGAGCCTCCGCCAAGCACGATCCACTCGCACAGTCCCCGTCGGCCCCGAGCAAGCGGCTACTGTTTCTTCAGCTGGTCGGAGGGCTGGAGGCTCCGCTCGGCATCACCCGTGCCGGCCCCCGAGCCGAGGGCGCAGCGGGGCTGAGGAGGCAGCGGGCACCCGGGGCTGGACCCCGAGGGATAGGGGAAGACACGGTTCCCCCGCTCCGCGGCCGGTGCGCTGCACCCCGGCGCGCCGCACCCCCGCGCGCCGCTTCGCTGCCAGGTCCGCCGACTGCAGCTCGGGTCCTCCGCTGTTTGGTCTCTGAGTTCGCCGGGGTCCCCGCGCCCGGTTCCAGGCGCGGACAGGCAGCGAAACGAGGGGTTGGGTCTCTCCAAGGCTCGGGTTCCCTGCCTCCGCGCCGAGGTGCTTCGCGAGTCCCCCCTCGGACCCGGGGAGGGGGGCGGACGCGGGTTGGAGGACCACACTGGGCGAGCCGGCTCAGGCGTTCCCGCGGAGCTCTCGGAGCCCAGAATGCGGGGGCGGGGGCAGCTCTGGGGGGTCCGCGCACCCCTCTCCTGGCTAACGCGGGGGGGGCTGCGTGGGGCGTTCCGAGGGTCTCAGCTCCCCTCTCTGTGTCTGCCTCTCGCCCAGCGCTGAGAGAAGCAGCAACAAGTTTTGCATTTCAGCAATCAATTTCAGCCATTACATTTGCACCAATCAGCACAGCCCGAGCTGGGTCCGGGGCGGGGCTCGCTGTTAAGGTGGTCCTGGGTACTGGCTGCCGAGGCCCCCCTACGAACCCGCACTTCGCCAACTCCCGGGTCCCCGGCTCGGGTCTCGCCCGGGGGTCCGGCGCCAGTGCGCTCGGGGCGCGCGCCCTGGCCTCCCAGCGCATCGGGGTGGAGAGGGCGCAGGCTTAGAATGGCGGGAGCTTGGCTTTGTTCACTCCCTTCCTACTCACACAGTTACCAACTCCCCACCCCCAACTGAAGCGAGACCTGCGGGGTGGGCAGGGGGCGGGGAGGTGGGTGGTAAGCGGTGCGGGGCGCTCAGACAATGGGGTCTCCAGGCACAGCGCCTGGACTCGCCGGGAAAGTCGCTAAGTATGGACTGTGCTTCCACCCGAGGCGAACCCTCGGCTCTCAACCGCAGTCGGCTCACCAGTGGCGCCCAACTTAACCAGTCCTCGGATTTTCCGGGAGCTGAAAGCAGACCGGGAACCCCCGAAGTTAGGGTTCTCCTCCAGACACCCGCGCTCCTGCTCGCCCCTCCCTCGCCAGGGCATGCACAATTGTTCCCTTAACCCCACTGCCTGAGGTTCCCAGTCCTCAGTCGCTGGCTTCCACCGGGAGGAGCCGTGACCACTCGGTCACTTTATTGGGGGGGGCACTTCGGCAAAGTCCAGCGCAGATCCGCGAGGAAGATCAGCGCGCGGTGGACGCACGGGCCGGCGGGAGGACCCCGCTACTGGCACCCGGACCGAGGCCCAGGGGGCGCGAGGTTGGCCTCCTTAAGAGATCAATTAAACTGTAGAGGCCAAGGAATTGGGTTGTGATACTAAAATCAATAGGAGTAATTTAATATCTGCCCTGCTCTTTATGAAATATTTATCCCAATAATCTTAGTTAAAATGTTTAGATCTTCCTGATCCCCACTGAGGCTGAAATCTATCTTGCAGTTGGAGAGGTTGGAAGTTAGAGGTGATGGGGGGCAGAGGAGGTGTTTATTCTATGTGCCTGCCTGTGTGAGTATTTTCCTCCCTGAAGTGTGTGCGGGAAGGAAGGGGAGAAGGCCTTGAACGCTCCTGGCTATAAAATAGCACGAGGCAATTTTGTGAGCCGACCAGCATTCTTAGGAGAAGGGGAGGACGGAAAAAAAAAAAAAAAAGGAACTTTCTTTGAAGTGCCCCTGATATCGCTATTAAATCTAAATAAAATTAAGCATGGTGTATAAAAATGCCTTTTCCCCCCACAAAGGAAAGTGTTTATCGCCTAAGTCTGTCTAGCGTTTGCTAAATTACGCATGAAATCTGAAATGAAATAAACGTTATAATAAAACCAACCCCTGAGCCCTTTTTATTTAAAAACCTCAGATTAAGCACTCCACCAACGCGGGAGGGAGTTAAAAAGTTACCACTCCGCGCAAGCGAATTCATGGCTCCCCGGAGTTGCTGCTGGGAAGACAGATGCTGGGTTTTCAGAAATGCTGGGGAAAGAGCTCAACTTAGGGTGAGAGGAGACGGGAATCTCAAGGAACTCCGGGAGGAAAATGACACCTCCCCGCCGCCCTCCAAGAAGAATAAAAATAAAAGACAAACAATAAAAACCTGAAACTTTAAAACTCAGAGAGCTGAAGCCGGCTCGGATCCCAGGTCCTTTGTGGGACCTCCCGGCGCTGAACGTCCGACAGATATATATATATATATTTTTTTCCTTTTTGAAATTAAAAATGAAAATTACCCCCACCGAACATGCGGTCCATGAAGAAGTATTTGTACAGGGCGGTGGAGTTTTAAAAGGATTTTTCTGCAGGATCAGGTTGTTGGTCTGTGATTAAATATTGATTTTGTGTAATTAGTTTTCATGTGAACTATCCTCTTGCTGATAGCTTAGAGGTTTCAGAACTAGAAAAGAAATGGAATTGGACATGGAAATTATTACTTAGCAAAGTGACAGGGAAGTGAGAGGCGGAGAAGAGAGTGAGGCTTGGCTGGTTTAGGCACAAAGAACTAAAGGGCCTGGCTAGGCCTCTGGTGGCACCTCCCCACCCACAGGGCCCCCAGGCCAGACCCTGGGGGGACCCTAAGCCTCTTGGGCTGGAAGGGGACCAGTAGGGGGACTGGCTGCCAGGAGGAGGACCCCTGTGTGGGCAAAGCCCCCATGACAGCTGGTCACATACCTGGTCCAGAGTGATTGGTTTTGGGTTGTGAGTGTGTCACCGTATGTGTCCAGAGGGAACAGGGAACGTGGGGGCCTGTCTGGAGTCCTGGGTGGGCCCGGGCAGCGGGAAGAATGGCCCACAGACCCAGCAGTCTGGGGGGACCCCTGTTGGGATGTGCTGTAGGCTGAGGCATGACTTCACAGGGCTCTGGGTGGGGGTCCCCTGAACACCTGCGCAGGTTTCCTGTGGAATAATTCCGTGCGCTCCCGAGAGGGGTGTGGGGGAGTTTTTCTCTGGGGCTGTTTCCAAGAGCTCAGTCTGCAAGGTGTGCGGATGTCTGAAAGCAGGGTGCGTGCCTGCGGTTGGGCTCGGCTGTGTTTCTGTGCAGGCGGTGTGCCTGGGTCACCTCTCCTTCACGCTGCAAATGTCGTCGTGCGAGCGTGTGGCATGTGCCAGCGTTTGTGCCTTTGTCTGTGTGGGGGAGGCAGGACCTCTGCATGTGTTTGTGTCCGTGCCTGTGTGCGCGTGCATTCCTGGGTCTCTGTGAGTGTCCCCAATCCCGTGCTTCTGTGTGTGTGCCTCTGTGTTCATCCCTGTGGGTGCAGCTGCCTCATTCCTCCTGTGCCTGCATCTCTGCTCACGCGTCTGTTTTCTCTGCGAGGGTGAGAGCCAGTGCCACTGCCTGTGCCCATCTGTGCCCATGGACACGCCGGTGTGTGCACCTCCTTGGTGTGGGCGTCCCTGCGTGTGCCTGTGTGTGTGCGCCGCCTGCAAGGGCCTGCGGTTTCTTTGGAACAGACACATTGCCCCCTAGCGCTCAGACGAATTCACGTTCCGCTGCCGGCCCAGAGCCCAGAGCCCAGAGCAGCAGGAGCCTGGGGCCTTTCTCCCCTCCCTCCCCTTCCTTCAGCCTCCCCTCCAGTCCGAGGGCGCTCCAGGCTGGCGGGGGAAGGAGACACAGCTGGGCTGGGGACCCAGAGCTGAAGAAGGATGCTCCCAGGGGCTGAGATCCTGCACACCTGGACCAGCCCAGGAGCTCCCGTCCAAAAGGGGACCCCCCCACTACTGAGCCCCCACTCAACAGAAACACAAATAACTGACATTCACATCGTTTACCCACCAGACACACAGCCTTCATGCTGGCCCACCAGGCCCCCAACACCAGCGCGCGCGCACACACACACACACACACACACACACACAGCTAACACCTATGCCCTGTAGAGCTTGGACACGTGAAGAATCGCAGCAGACAGAGTCCCCTAGGAGGCTTGGAGGGGAACCTACTTCCCCTGAGGCCTGGGGTAGAGGGGCTCAGAAAGACTCCCTCTCTTGAACAAGTGGTGGGAAGGATATAAACTCTGGCATCACATACCCGGATTCAAATCTGGTCTTCACCACTTACGACCTGGCGTGACCTCGGACGAAACCCTTTCTTCCTCTGAGCCTCAGTTTCCCCCGTTGGAAAGGAAAGTCACAGATTGGACTTTTTTTTTTAAGGAGGGAATGATGATTTTTAGTTTTTTAAATATATTTTATTGATTTTTATTTTATTTTTTTACAGAGAGGAAGGGAGAGGGATAGAGAGTTAGAAACATCGATGAGAGAGAAACATCGATCAGCTGCCTCCTGCACACTCCCTACTGGGAATGTGCCCACAACCAAGGTACATGCCCTTGGCCGGAATCGAACCTGGGACCCTTGAGTCCGCAGGCTGACGCTCTATCCACTGAGCCAAACCGGTTAGGGCGGGGATTGGACATTTAAAGGTGGCACAGAGCGTGGCAGATGGCAGGCATTCGTTAAATGGTAGCCTCTCTTATTACCATTATCATTATTATTATTTCTTCTGTGTTTGGACTCAGGGACGTGGAGAGAGGAACAATGAATGACCCCAGAGAAATCAGGTTCACGTGGCAGATCAGCCTGGCCTCCCCAGCCGCCCTGTGAGAGAAAGGATGGCTCTCTCAGGCGGTCCCCTCCACCTCTCCCACCCCACACTGTGCTGGTGTCAAGGGGTGCGGTTGGCATCTGTCCAGGGAGCACCCAGAGCTGACGCCTCCGGGGAAGGCCCAGCTACTGCTGTGATGAAGGATAGTAACCCCCTTGAGGGTTGGAAAGGATGAGACCCTCGTAGCTGCCAGTTGCTAAGCAACAGCATCCCCTCCCTCTCTCTATGCATGATGCCTGATTATCTTTGGGGGTCTCTCTTCCATCTGTCCATTGAATAAATACCCATTGAGTGCCTACTGTGGGCCAGGGCTCAGGCTGGGAAGTCAGGGGGAAAAAAAGTGGAAGATTGATCCCAGCCTTCAGTCTGGAAAACCTAGTATTGGATGCTAACAGGACTACATTATATACTATAGGGATAAAATAACTGTGCTGAGAGGGGGCAATAATAGGGGTTTCCAGAGGTGGGTTTTGTAGGTGGAATAGGAGTTTAATAACCAGAACAGGGTCAAAGGACTTCCCAGGCAGAGGAATCAGGTTGAATGAGATATGGGAAGGTTCTAGCAGCCGGTTTTTTTTAGAGGAAGACACGGGAGGGGCAGGGTCTGAAGCTCAAGAGGTCAGCAGGACCCAACTCAGGAGGACCACAAGGGCGGGTGGGAACGCTTGGACATTTTTCTGGGGAGTCATGAAAGGGTTTCAAGCAAAGCCAAGGAACATAGTCAGAGGTGAGTTTTAAGAGTTCTTTGGAGACCGGAGGGTCTCCCTTTTCTTTGTCTTTCAAGGTGGCCCCAGAAGCCATCTTCACTGTGTTTTTTTCCTGGAAACAGAGTCCTGAGTTTGTCCCCAGGCAGCCAGCACAGAGCAAGGCAGGACGCACTGCCTCTCGCACTCAGGGCTGTTAGCACAAAAAGGCCCCTCCTGCCTCAGTGAACACAGATGCTACTCCCTTTGGGCAGGACTTCTCCCCTGTCTCTCAGCCGGGCGAGGGAGGCCAAGGGGCATTGACGAGAGAGCTAGACGTCTTCGGTTCTGAGCCCGGTTCCTCCCTCCCCGGACCCCACACCGGGAGCAAGACCTCGACGGGAGCTTCAGTCCCTGGATCTACAGCAGCGGTTCTCAACCTGTGGGTCGCGACCCCTTTGG